TTATCTACTTAAGTTTCAAATTTAAATTCAAATCAAATGTGAAATTGTTTCACGGTTGGATACGTAAACATCATGCAACATGTATGCATGGATTTCAGTTTTTTTGATCTTATCACTTGGTTGATGTAATCTATTTCCATCATTTTTGCTTTCTTATATATATAAGAATGAAATAAGAATAAATACAGTTTTCTTCTCCAAAAAAATACAATCCATATGAAAACAGCAAAACAGAGGATATCGCATAACCTTGCTCTATTTTGCTGTCTCTCTCTCTATCAACGTTCTCTCTCTAAGTTCGCTCATCCACAGAACTTCCTTTGACGCTCATTTACTTACGATCAACAACTGGTATCAGAGCCAGGTTCTTAAGGGACCAGAAAATTAACATATCCTCAAAGAACTCGATGACATCCACTGGAACCTCACCTCCTCCACACTTCAGTGGAGAAAATTACCATGTATGGGCAATCAAAATGAGAGCCCATCTGAAAGCCTTAAGTCTGTGGGATGTAATTATGGATGACAGTGATCCCCCTCTACTAGGGAACACTACCACTCTAAACCAAATCCGAAGGCACGAGGAAGACAAGTCCAATAAACCAAATGCTATTGCTTGCCTTTTTTCGGCTGTCTCGGATAGGGTATTTTCAAGAATTATGAACTTCGAATCACTAAAGCCTGCTTGGGAGAAACTGAAGGAAGAATTCGATTGAGGAGTCAAAAACAGGAAGTTGAAAATCTTGAGACTGAAGAGTGGGTTTGCATTACTCAGAATGTAAGAAAATGAAACAATGAAGGACTATGCCTCCAAACTCTTGGATGTGGTAAACAAAATGAGGCTGCTTGGGGAGGATTTTCCGAAATCAAAGGTAGTAGAGCATATTCTTATCAGCTTACCCCCTAAATTTGAGTCTAAAATCTCAACCTTTGAGGAGCTTACTGACATTGAATCTATCTTCTCGGCTGAACTAATAAACAAGCTTCAATTTAGTGAGCAGTGCGTAAATATGCATGTTCAACAACACATCGAGGGAGCCTTAATTTCAACACATATCAAAGGAAACTCTTCAACACAGAATCAAGGGAGAAGGAGCGAAGGAAATCTAACTGGAAATCAAAATTCCAGTAAGCAAAAGAAAAATCCTCAGTGCAACATTTTTCCTTGATAAATCACCCTGAAAATGAGTGCTGGTACAAGGGAAATTCGGTGCAACTTCTACAAAAGGCTTGGTCATAAAGAGAAATTCTGCAGACAGAAATAGAAACAGGAAGGATCGCAGCCAAAGCAAGAACTACAGCATGCTAATGTCACCGAGGTGTTCAGTGAGCAACGCGCTACAATTTTCGTTGCTTTAAGTGATCAGTTAGTGGAGGATGATACCCTCTGGGTGGTGGACAGTGAGTACACCTCCCACATGTGCAAGGATGAGGCCCTATTCATGTCACTTGATAAAACAGTCACAGGCCAAGTACGACTTAGAAATGGTATATTGGAAACCATCAAGGGCAAAAGTTACATAGCCATTGAAACCAGAGAAGGTAAGAAGCTTATCACTGATGTGAATTTTATTCCTACCCTCTCATAGAATCTCTTGAGTGTGAATCAGATGACTGATCGAGGCTACTCGGTTGCATTCAAGGATAATTACTGCAGGATATATGATCCTAAGGATAGATTAATTGCCTTCATCCACAAAAAGGATCAAGCCTACTCCTTGAAACTCATAGAAGTAGTCAAAAAGGCTAGTGTTGCCACTGTTATAGAAAGTGAGATATGGCATAACCGCCTTGGGCATTTTTATGTGGCAGAGCTACAACAACTGCAGAAGGGATGTCTAACTCAGGACTTCCCAAACATTACAATCACTGAGTCAGTATGTGGTGCCTGCTAGATGGGGAAGATGGCAAGGAATTCTTTCCCTTCGTAAACAGATTGGAGAGTAGAAGAGAGGCTAGCACTCATACTCTCCGACATCTGTGGTCTGATGACAGAAAACTCCATGAGCAGATGCATGTATTTTGGCTTGTTCATAGATGATTTTTCAAGGATGATTTGGGTTTGTTTCCTATAGAATAAAACTCAAATCTTTGGTGAATTCAAGAAGTTTAAGACTATGGCAGAGAAGGAAAGTAGTTGTGTGCTGAAGTGTCTAAGGACAGATAATGGCCTTGAATTCAATTCCAGAGAATTCAAATGACTTTTGTTCTGAGAATAGAATCAAAAGGTAGCTCACGGCACCATATTCACCTCAACATAATGGTGTCTCGGAGAGGAAGAACAGAACCATTGTGGAGATGGAAAGAAGCATGCTTGCTCACAAGCACTTGCCTAAAGCTTTATGGGCTGAGGTAGTAAACATTGTCGTGTTCCTGCTTAACATGCTGCCTACAAAGGCTGTGAAGGAGATGACACATGCGGAGGCCTGGAGCAGCATCAAACCATCAACTAAGTACCTAAAGGTGTTTGGCTTCGTATGCTAGTGCCATATCTCGGATAACAGGAGATCAAAGTTAGAAGAGAAGGCTGAATTGGGAGTATTTTTGGGTTACAGTACTGAAGCAAAGGAATATCGAATTCTAAGCTTGAAAACCAAAAAGCTTATGATTCAAAGAGATGTTACAGTGGATGAAAGGAGCTACTGGAATTGGGAGAAGCAGAAGGTCGATCCAGACTGTGTGACAGTAGAAGAAGGAAAGAGATCTCTGTCAGTATTAACCCAACTCAGGCTGAGGAAGAAGATGATGAAGATGAAGAAGATGAAGCAGAAGGGAGAACAAAAATGAAAAGCTTAGCTGACATCTATAAAAAGTGCAGTTTTGCTTCAAAGGAACCTTCCTCTGTTGAGGAAGCATTTAAGCAGCAAGAGTGGAAGTTTGCCATGGAAAAAGAAATCAGGATGATCAAAAAGAATAATACCTGGTCTCTAGTAAAATCAAATGCAGACAAAAAGCCTATTGGAGTCAAGTGGGTGTTCAAGGTGAAACTGAATCCGGACGGGACAACAAACAAGCACAAGGCACGACTTGTGGCAAAGGGGTACTCATAGCTTCCTGGAATCGACTACACAGAGACTTTTGCTCTTGTGGCCAGACATGAAACAATTAGACTCATGTTGGGCATGGCAGCTCAATTTGGATGGAACATGATGCATTTGGATGTGAAGTCGACCATCTTGAACGGTAAGCTGAATGAAGAAATCTATGTAGAGCAGCCACCAGGATTCATTCAACCAGGAAAGGAGAAGCATGTCTACCTTCTTTACAAGGCCTTATACGGCCTCAAACAGGCTCCATGAGCCTGGTATGATAAGTTAGATACATATTTACTTCTCTGTGGGTTTGAGAGA